CACACGCGCCCGGCGTGAGTTTTAAGCCACCGGGTCCGGGACGCAAACCGCGGTCGACTACGTGGGAGTCCAGCGACATAGCCATTACGCTAACTGCTGGTTCCCAATAAAATAAGTTTTTAAAAAAGTATTAGATTTGGGTCTTCTTTTCTTTTTTGAACTGATAATCATCTCAAGATGTTGAGCTAGCTTGCAAATTTAGGAAAGACCTGAATATGCCCCAGTTTAAAAAATTAACTTAGTAAAATTTTGTATGCAATGTGTGTGGGTATGTCGACGATTAGGCCACTTTTATATTTTACATGAACAACTAGGTTTCTAAAATGAACCAGTAATCATAAATACAAGCATCTTCAAATTGCAACTAGACCTAATTTTTTTTTTTTTAAAGATTGAAATTTTTCAAGGAAGAGTTCCCCTCACTATAACTAGATATGTAGCTGCTTGGGTGTGTCTAAACATGTTTCTTATCTTTTTTTTTTTTTTTTTTTTTTTAAATGCCCTTTTTTTTTTTTTAAACAAAAGGATTATACCGGCTTTAGAGAGGATCTGGGGAAAAAAACACAACAGATCTAAAGTCCTTTCATCTTCATCTTAACACATCTCTAGTCTGGACAAGACCAAGAAGTGCTGCAGTTTCGTGTGCTTTTAGCGACGTCCCAGTGAACTAATCTGCAGAGCATGGCATAAAAAGGCAAGAGGACCAGGTTCTCACTTCGCCCTCACGCTGTTGGACGCCGTTGAAAGAAATTAATCTGAGCAGATTTAGGACTGAGGGCTTTATGTCCATATGGATTGGCAGTTGGTGAGACCTCACTATTAACGGTGCACAATTAATAAATAATATGTCTCTGTTTGCTTCGGTAGCTGTTCAAGCAATAAAAAGCTTATAAAAAGATTGCTTAGACAAAAACCCCACATATGGGCAAGGTCTTGATCCATGCTGGATATCTTCCATTCAGGAATCCCATTAGCATTTTGCATGGTACATCGCCCCTCAAATACCAATTTGTTATTCATTTTACCACTATGGACCAGATGAGTTAGTCACAATTATTCATAAATCTTTCACATAAATAATTAGGAAAATGAGTGGATAAATACATAGTGTTAAAAATTTAAAACAACAATTTTATTCTAGAATGGCATAATATTACTGTTAAATCATGCAGGCAGAGATTGAGATCTAAGCAGTTACCAGTAAGAGGGTGAAGCCGTAGCTTCACAGGGCACCTTTGTTCTCTGGTATGATAAATGACTCCAAGATATCACTTCAACTCTGACTTCAGAAGCAAATTAAATTTCAAAATTAAAACAACTTTAATTTTAAATGTCTCTTTGATAACACCTATCTATAGCAGACCTTGCCAGGAAAATCTGCAGGCTCTGTGATCCTAAGAGATTTTTGACCTGATTTAAATCCTGAGACTAAAAAAAAAAGAAGACACCAATTAATGAAGGCTTCTGCTACAATGCCTCATCGAGTACAAGGGTAAGTTACGTTGCAGGACTACTCTACGGTTGTAAAATCTTAGTCAAAATTATATCAACTTCCATGCAACACTAAATACATTTCAATTATATTTACTTTGCACTGATGACAAATGAACACACGCAGCACTGTTTAAGAAAGAATAAGGGGAACACACCTTATACGAGTAGCAATCTGGGAAATGAACGGAAATGAATACAAAGTGGAAATGAAAGCACCTACTCTATGTCTTTAAAGGCCGACTCAAACATCATGAACCTTGGTTGAGTTACAGAATATAGTATTACAAGAGTACCTTCGCTTTTCCTGTCTTTCTGTAATTCTTCCAGGTGAAAGAGGTTATCTATGAGTGCTTTCTTGAATTTCCTTTAACTTTTCATCAATATTTTTAAGGAAAGTTTCACTCTTTTACAAGTAAAACTTTTGTAGGAAAGTCTATATAAATGATGCTGTTACAGGAGTGACATTTTGCAAATATTGAGCATAATTCAGCTTCCTTTGAAATTGGTCATGGCTTTTTCTACAAGAAATTCAGTTTAACGGTTAGGTTGTGGTGAATCTGCAGATAAATCAGTTAGGTTCTACTGGATGTACTAAATAACCCCCCCACACACATTCTCTTACACTCTATTGTATTACTCTATAGTATCCACATTCAAAACTAGCATGTTTAAAAGTATTAAATCACATTTCCTTTAAAAAACGGTAGAATAATGTTATTTATCATTTCATTAGATTTATTAAATTTATTCATTGCCATAAATTCTAGGCAAATGAACAAATACAACCATTAAATGGGAGGGGAAAAAATCAACCCTGCAACTTTTTTTTTTTTTTTTTTTTTTAAATAACCTTGAGCCTTTAGGAAATAGTTGCTTCATTCTCATAGACATTACATGGATTTTTGCAAACAAGTCTTCATTCAGGTTTTTCAAATGCAATGTATCAGAGTAACTTTTCTTCAATTAGGTTATGTCCTAGGATTCGGGAAAATTACATTTTATATTGTAATATAGATTGCATGTAACCATGGTAAAATCTGGCATACTAGGACTCCTGTCAGTCATTGATTTACTGCTCAACTGTAAGAAAACATTTTAGAACAACACCCCCAGGACTGTCATGAACTCTTCTTTATTGTCAAAGTGTCAGAATACTGTGTCAGGTAGCCTCCAACCTTAAAAGTGATTTACGATAAAAACGCAACTGAAGATTAGTTTAGTTTTATCATCTTAAGGACTACATGAAACATTTTTTTCACATTATATTTTTTATTCCTCATCTGTACAATATAACCCACAACAGAGCAGTTAGTCCATAAAAAGAACCTACATTATGAGAACATTCTAAATATTCACATTTTGTTTTTATTTTATAGCTGTTACTTAAGTTAACATGTGGTACATTTTTACAAAGCCTGATTGTTCACGTATTTAATTTCTATGCTCATAAAGCCATATATTTTTAATACAATCCAAGCAGCAGGAAATGATCAGACTCTACTAAATATTTTAATATTAGCCTGAAGTTGTGAAGTGAAATATAAAAGGGAAAGTGGTTTTAGAGCCTGTGACATTTCACACTATTCCATCAGTCATAAAGATATATAAATCAACCTTCAGGAATGTCATTGGAGAATTTAAAATCCTAATACCTATGCTATGAAATAATTAATGAAATATGATATGTAAGGTCAACAATGACTATAACACTGAAGTGTATTGCTTTTTGTTGTTAATTCCTTTTCCACTACTAATGTAAAACATTTGCATTTCAAGAGATAAAACATTTCTTACACACATTCTGATTGTTTGGAAATTGGAATCCTGTCTTGTTCTTCTACCTGATATCCAAAACTGATGATCAATTTATTTAGTCCTAAACTTTAGGCATTTTTAAGAAATAACTTCTCTCTTGACAAAAATCACCATTTTTTACAATTCTGTTTCTCCTACTTGTAAATACTTGACTTTTACGTTGCATCTGTGTATCTCAATTATACATTAAATGAAAGGTTGATGTAATTCTTACAAAGAATGACAGTTAAATGGAAAATCCCAGAGGGGGTACACTAAAGATTGTGATCTTAACTTGTGAACTCAGACTACATTTGAGGTTTATACAAAAGCATAAGGATTTTTTTTTAATACTGTATGAGGACCCAGTCTCTGGCACAGTGGTATTGCAAGTGCCCACAGAGGCTTGTTCTGATCCCTGGTGTCTTGAATACATGGTAGGCAGAGCCATGGAGACCCAGAATACAGAGGAGCTAAAAGACGAGAAAGTGGACTATGCGTGATGAGACTCTCTCTCTCTCTCACATACACACACACAGGCACATTCTCCATCATAAAGTGAACTGTTAAAGAAAGAAAGAAAGAATGAAGGATAATCATCTAATTAGATTTTTCAGATGCTCCTATAGAGTGCTGAAGAAAACATTGTTGGACAGTTTTTGGCTCATCTTCACAGAAGATATTTTACACAACCTATTCACATAGGAGAAGATTCCCATCTCCTGAAGTTAATACATAGAATCGGTTGGCATTATAAGAAAATAGAAACAGAAAAAAAAATAGCATTTAAAATACAGAAAGCAGACAATATTTGAGACATGTGGCCTCAAGGTTTTTAAAGTGTAGATTTTGAACATCAGAGAGAGCATGTAGTTCAGTTAGACTGTGTCACTGGTAGTCTGTGTGGGATGTGCAGTGTAGGGTCTGTGCCACAAAGACAAAGGATCTGGACTAGAATTTGGAGAGAATACTGATAATTGCTATTTGTTGTTTAACAATCTTTATCCTAATTTCCAAAATATGACACCACTTAATTTTTTATATTCTGCTTTTTAATGACCTAACTTACTGTCCTTTCCCTTATACAAATTATTTATAGATCCCTGAGTGTTAGATGCCCTGGTAGCTTTGCCCATAATCTGCTCTGTGTTTGAAATGCCCATCAGCTCCTAGCCCAGGAGGAGAACTCCTAGCTATCTTTTGAAAGTTAGTTAATTTGTTACCAAGGTGGGGAAAAATCTTTTTCTACTTTAGATATTTATGCTTCATGCCACTCTTACAATTTGGAAGGATCTTATAATTACATTTATCATATATAAATAAATAATATTTTAAAATTTTCCCACTTAGTAAGTTTTAAGATCCTTTGACAGAAAAACCATTTATTTTTTTCATATCTGTGTATATAATTTCTTTATTGCTCTTGTCTGTCTTGTAGCATAAATATTCCAATTTTTATGTTCATCGTTATATTATTTTGAATTTTATTACACATTACCTTCATTTATTACATGCATTTTCAGTCCTGAATTGGTCCCTGGACATTCACCTTGGGTCTCTAACTGACAGCTGGGGCTCTCCAGAGATTTTCAACCATGACCTAATTTTCAATTATCTAGAAAGAAAATCACTGTCTTTTCCCAAATACACTTTGCATCTCAGATAGTTTTATTTCTATCACTGACATAATAATTTTTTGAATGTTTTATCTTGAAAACACAGCCGCCCCTGACTTCATTCTCTGCCACTCTCTCTACAGACAAAAATCACCGTGCTTAGTCCCTATTTATTGTGCTGTCTTCGTTTTCTCTCCCACTTGATCTTCCTTGGTTTAGAATCTACTGTAATAGTGGAGAGTAACGTTAGAAATGCACATTAATCTTCCTAAAAGAATTGCTTTGATGCAGCTCTTCCAAAAACGTTTAAAAGGAATATGACCGAGAAAATGATATCCCAGTTTTCAGACTATTATTTCACATCTATACACTTAGGCTATTTCCTGTCTCCAAACATATACCCTCTGTTCTATTTTAACAATTGGC